GGATACAAGTTAAAAAGTGACCAAGTTTGTGTGGTCCTCACAGGTTTCGCGGATGACCAGGCCGTGTCAGCGCGTGACAAGGGGGCTGCAGAAATAGTGATCGGCAGCGTTCAGAGGACTTTTGAGGAAATTGGTTTGGCTATTAATCCTCAAAAAAGCGTGGGCATCGTTCTAAATAAAGGAGAGCTGGAAACAGCGATGCTCTCCCTTGAGAACGGAGAGTACAACCAAACATTGCAGGATGAAGATACAATCAAGTATTTAGGATGTACATTCTCGGGAGAGCTACAGTTCAACGAATATTCGGTGACCAAATTGAACGAAAATCTGAATAAACTGGTAACCTCTCCTTTGCTGAAGCCGGAGCAGAAGCTAAACATTGTCAACCAATATCTGTTCTCGGGTCTTACTTACCCTCTCCAAACTGCGCCCCTCACAAAGCTGCGTCCTGCCATACTTGACGGCATCGACACCATGATTCCCAGGAGTGTGAAGGCTATTGTTGGACTCCCTGCGAACACCTCCACGGCGATGTTGTACTCTCCCAGGAGGTATCGAGGATTAGGATTAATCCGCTGCCAATGGGAGGCTCCTCTACAACATTGGTCCATTGCTCAGCGACTGTCCAATGTGCCCGATGTCCTTTTTCAGTCGATCTTTGATTATTCGGCTGAGGTTGATGAATGTGCCGAGAGATTGGGGGTTGATCGGGGTATTCGGAATATGAGAGCTCTACGGCAGTCGCTTCGAGAAAATTCGTTTGAGGAATGGACCAATTGCAGGTGGCAGGGCATTGGAGTTCGCCATTTTAAAGAGACCCCGAAAGCCAATAAATACATGTATGATAAGCAAGTACTTTCTGGGTCTGAATGGTCAAATGCCCTGAAACTGAATATTAATTATGCACCCCTGCGTGGAGTCCCAGGTGTCAGCGGACAGGTAAAAGAAGTTGGGTCCCTCTGTCGCAAATGCGACAGAGAGCCAGAAACACCAGCACATGTGCTTGGAAAATGCCCCAACAACTCCCTCCTTATAACGCGCCGTCACCACAGAGTCAAACATGAACTGATGAGGCTCCTTATAGAGAGAGATTACGCCTGTTTCGAGGAAGTATATTGTATAGATACGGATGGATCCACCCGATGTGCCGACATTGTAGCATTCCCTAAGACGGGAAAGTCGGCGATGATTTTGGATCCGACCGTGAGATATGAGACCAACGACCTCGATCAGGCAGGAAAAGTGGAAAGGGAGAAAAAACAGACATATGAGAAATGCATCCCTTTCCTTAGTGAAAAGTTCAGCGAGAGTTTCGGGCCGAGAGAGTTCCACGTGAGAGGCCTTTGGTTCGGAGCTCGCGGAACGATACCAGACTCAAGAAGGAGCTTCATGGAGGGCCTTGGTGTCGACATAAAGGACGTGGCAAGGTTGGCAGAGAACATAATCCTTGACTCCCTGGGAATTATCCATCACCATGTGCATGGATAGAGAGTTTGTTCATGGGGGGAGGCATGCGTGTTTTACAGCATTTTTACATTATTTATTGACCACGTCCACTGCACTTTATGTATTTGTATGCATGTTATGAATTAGGGTAGGAAAAGAGAGGAGAAAATCTAGGGAACGAGAAAAATGTATAGAGTGAGAGAAGGAACAGAAAGGGATGTATAGTGCTAATAAATGAATTAAAGAAATAGTAAAAATAAAATAAATAAATAAAAAAAAAATAAATAAAAATATAGAAAAAAAATTATGATAAAAAAAATATATATGTAGATAAAAAAAAAAAAAAAAAAAATTGTATATTATGCTCATACATGTTGTTAATACTATATAATTGTATATTAGTTTTGGAAAATTGTCTGTAGCGATTAATAAGTATGCTGTGTTTAAAGCAACCCAATGTAATTGGGCAGCACCCTTTTATGATAATAAAGTGATTCTCTCTCTCTATTATATTCTTTCTTTTACAATACGTTATGTTAATTATGTTTTATGTTATGTTAATCATCACTTGTGTTTGTATGTAATATAAATTCCCGAGCCTTTGCATTTACACTTGTAAAAGTGAATACGGCAGCATTCACGTTTATTAAAATGAAGTGAATGCAAATATTTTCACACAACCTTATTAATGAATACTCTTATTTATTAAAATATATTTATTAAATCTATGTGTGCTTATTTGTTTTAGGTGAAGTATTTATATTAAAATAATAAGTCATTTAAAGAAGACTTAAGCACTATTAGTTGATTACAGAATGATAGGCTTACTAGCCAAAACATAGCCGATGTAGATGTAAAAGTGGAATAAATGTGGTGAAGTAAAAACGCAGCCTTATTTTATATTATATATAGTTATGAAATTATTTATTTAAAAAAATTGCTATATATCCCATTTTATTTTTATATATAGTATTATCTTCTTTGGTCATCGCTATCCTCCCTCCCCCACAATAAAAATTCAGGCGAGGTGAGAACATTGGAATTTCTTAATGAGCTGGTACTGTCTTGAAAAAAACTTGAAGATCAAAATCCAGCTCATCCAGACTACAAGAGCCTGCTAAACAAACAGACTCAGTTTCGCTATCAACTTCATATATTGTTCTATATGCAATACTTAACACATTAACACATATAATCACACCTTACACATTATTACATACTGAATGGCAGGTCCGGAAGGTGACTGTCCAAATTTGACAGCCCTTGCCTCCTTGCTTCAACTGTCATGTACACGGCTGTTGTGTACATATGTTTCCCCTAGGAACTTCCAGAGTATCGTTCCGACTGTTGTACCTACCCTGACCGTCCATTAACCTTATCTTTATTGTCATTAGAAACCTATAAATAAACAGTGCACTGAAAAGTGTATGTCTAGGGTCATAGAAGTAGACTTTCTATTCTGGTATGGGAGAGGGTAGATGGATCCATAAAAAAAAAAAAAAAGCTTGGGAATTTATATTATGTACAAACATTAAGAATGATAATTAACTTAATATAACATATTATAAAACGAAGAATTTAATACTATTCATAAAAAATAAAATTGTATATATGGTAAATATATTTTTTTAAATAAATAATTTATGAAATATATATATTTTTAATAAATACAAGTATTCATTAATAAGGTTTTGTGGAAATATTTGCATTCACTTTTGTAAATTTAAGCGTATTCATTTTAATAAACGTGAATACTGATATATTCACTTTTACAGATATAAATACAAAGGCTCGGGAATTTATATTAAGTACAAACACAACGAGTGATAATTAACAAAACATAATACATTGTAACATAATTGACATAACGTATTGTAAAAGAAAGAATATAATACTATATATAAAAATAAAATGATATATACAGTAAACATATTTTTTTTTTATTAAATTATTTAATAAATATATATGTTTTCAATAAATAAGAGTATTCACTAATAAGGTTGTGTGAAAATATTTCCATTTGCTTCTGTAAATTTAAGCGTATTCATTTTAGTAAACGTGAATACTGCCGCATTCACTTTTACTAGTGTAAATACAGCCGAATTCACTTTCACAATCGTGAATATGGCTGTATTTATATTTACAGCCGTGAATACGTATCATCTGTATTCATATTTCTTTTTATGAATATAAATATATTCATATTTATATTCATTAGTTCCATAAATATAAATGGTATTCGTATTTTGAATATAAATATGCCCATCGCTGGTATTGGACATCAGAACCCCCACCTCGCCAGCCGCTTCTGTCTCAACCTCACCTTGCGCCATTTTAAAGAGCCCAGTTTGTGGCATCGCCAGTCATTGATTGAGATGGATATTCATATCGATCCTCCCACCACCGACTACTTTTGACATTAGCTGAACATCAAGGCAACCTTGTTGAAAATAGAGCCTCCAACATGGATCGTTTTAATTCTCACCATATCCAAGAGACATTTAAACATTAATTTAATTTTTGTTTTCCCTATAAATTAGTTTTATTCTTTTTTGACAGTTATTTTTTCTCTTGTTTTCTCTATAATTTTAGAAGTTGATTTTATTATGTTTTATTCCTAATTGTTAATTTGTTTTTATTTTCACTGAATATTATATTTTATGTTTGGGTTTTGTGTCAGTGAATTTCTATACTCTTGTTTCATTTTGTTTTGTTTCTTCATCTTTTGTATTTATATATCTTTTTTATTCAAATATAACTTGTTAACATTCAAAAGGGGGATTCTTATTTTCCATTTTGATTAGTGAATATTTTTATTTGATATTGTTTTGTGCATCATCTCTTTTTTCACTAATTTTTTATCTTCATTCTCTTCATTTTTTCGTCCTTTAATTTTATTTGTATTTTGTCCACCTTTGAGGAAACTCACTGGGGAAAGGTCTATATTTTAATTTTGGAATACCCCTGGCCCCAACAATCCTTATACAACATTTTTAATTTATTCTTGTACAGGATACACATCCTAGGACACATAGACACTGCCATAATGTTTATTCATGCCTGGGCATTTCCAGTTCCTTTATCCTGTCCTTAAATAAGTAAGGTTATTATATTAAAATAATATCTATAGTCTTACCTTTAGCATACTGCTGCATTACACCATGTGCTGCTATGCAGTGATGCAAATTAATCTGCTATATCGTCACTACCATTACTAAGATGGCTCCAGCATCTGGAGGTTCATTCCCTGTATGGGTTTGAGTGGCTCCACCTTCTCTGACCCCTGCCTTGGCAGAAGAGCCTGGCTCCAGTGAGCCTCCCAACCCCCTCCCTTCAGGTTAGCCTTACTCTACAACTTACACATTTAAACTAATGAGAGATTGGAGTTAGACTAAGACTAAAATTATAACCATACAACATGTAGCAGTTACAATTATCACAAAGACCCATTGTACTCCATAATTTTAACAAAATGTTTTCTCCAGTTTTTTATTTGTTTTGCTGCTGATTGTTTTTTCATTTCATAAAAAAATGTATTATATGTTAAATTTTAGGCTCAAAGGAACATAGTATAAATATTTCACTAATGTTAAGACCAGAGAGAAGTCGTGAAATTTTGCACTTAGATACTTCAAAGGAAGCCAGCCAAAATTTGGCTCACATTTCTCCTCAAACTTTGGCAATAATAAAACATGGTGTTAAATCAGGTTTGAGTAAAGGACCATTGATGTCTTGTGAGGTAACATTTGAAATTCATTATTCAACAGTTCTATTTGTTATTTAATTGTTTTATATGATAATTTGTTATCTAAAATTTTCTCCCAAACAATTTTTCAGTGATCATTATATTACAAAAAATTATTATTTGTTTTACACTTGAATGAAATAGTTTATATATTTTGTTATTTAAATATATTAAACTAATTTTTCCTTCTTTATTCTAAAAAAATATATATATTTAATAATATTAGAGATCCGCGAATAGTGAAACAAAATTTTCAGGACTTCCATTCAAGATATTTTTATTAGTAGGTTAGCCGATTTTTCAACCCAAACAGGTGGGTCATCCTCAGCGCTAAAAATTATGAAATATAAAATAATATCAGTAAAATAATACCTATGAAATTGTAAGGGTAATAAGAGTGCAGAATAACAATAACAAGATGATAGCCGTAAGAGTAATTAAGTAAGATAATCACAAAAAAGGAAAGAATAAAATCAGCAAAATGATAAATGTAAAAGTATCCAATTGTAAAAACATTTAAATATGATAAGAAAATGATTTTTTAATATAAATAAATGAAAAGGTAAGTATATTTCCTACCCCTTCCATCAATGAGATGGCTTCTGGGCAGCATCTGATGAAGACAATGCTGAGGAATTCACCAGACACCTCTCCAGAACATTCACCTCTCATCCAGAATCCAACCCCACCCATACCACAACAGTAGAAGAATTCCTCACATCATCCATTCCTCTCTCTTTACCTCCTAAACCAGTTAATCGTTCTGAGGTCAAGCATCACTTACAAAACTTTCCTCCCTGTAAATCTCCTTGATAAGACCTCCTTACCTCTCAAATCTTCCAACAACTTCCTCCTAAAGCTATTATATGCCTCGCTTACATATACAATACCATCCTTCAAACCTCACACTTTCCTCTTTTGTGGAAACGTTTCACTATTATCCTTTTTCCAAAACCAGGTAATCCTCCAAACACCTTGACTTTCTACAAACCAATTAGCCTACTTTCAACCCTCTCAAAAATCTTTGAAAAGATCCTCCTTATCTTTGAACGGATCCTACCCTTTATAGAATCCTGAAGTTCCTTCCCATCAGTTCGGATTTTGTTCACAACACTCCACAGTCCAGCAAGGACTCCAAGTGGTCGATCATATTTCTGCAGTGCTGGAAAGCAAGCAATATTGCTCGGGTGTATCTCAGGACCTAGCTCAAGCTTTCGACCGGGTATGGCATGTCGGGCTTCTTTCCAAGCTAAAAAACCCATCTACCCCAGTCCTAGTACCTATCTCTCTGATCCCACCTTTCGAGTTTGCTGCGGTACAGAATTTTTCAATTACTATCCAATTGAAGCCAATTGATTGCATGATCACTTTATTTTTATTATATTTTTTTTTTGAGAAGATTGTGTGCGTCCACTGTGACAGAGTCAGCCCACCTCACATTTGGCCTGCCATGAAGCTCTTCAGCCAATGTCCTCTTTGGGATCTCATCCTATCCACGTGGCCTGCCCATCGGAGTATTCCAATCTTAATCCACTTGATGATATCAGGGTTTCTGTACAGCCTTGATAGTTCCTGGTTCTTCCCCCTTTTCCAGGTATCTCCCTCTCGAACCGGTCCGAAAATACTTCTCAATATCTTCAGTTCAAACATCAGGAGGTTCTCACTGGCTCTAGTGAAGGCCCAGGTCTCTGACCCATACGTTAGAACCAGACGAATCAGGGTCTTATGTAGGCTGACCATGGTCTTGTTGGAGAGGAGTCTGGTCTTGAAGTATTTTTCTAGCCCAAAATAGCTTCGATTGACTGTGGCAATTCTCCGGTTGATCTCCTCAGATAGGTCGTCTTGAATGTTTATTTTGGACCCCAGGTATACGAAACTTCGCACCCTCTCAAATCTGGTCCAACTTCGAAGAAACATGTCCCTGCCTCGAATGGTTCTATTCTTAAATACTTTTTTTTGGCTTTGTTGATGACCAAGCCAAGAATTTTTGTTCTAGAGCCTGAAACGCTTCTCTTAGGGCACACTCCTATCTGGCAGCTCTGTCGAAGTCATCTGCATACCCTAGTAACTGGACCATAATGTTGAATAGTGTGGCTCGTGTTTGGATTCCCGATCTACCCACTGCTCGCTCCACCATCAAATTAAAGAGAAGGCCCACAAGGAAGCCTCCCTGTCTCACGCTGCAGTTCGTGGCATTAGATTCATAGAGGTCAGAACCGATACAAACTACGCTGTTCGACCCCAACATGGTCATTCTCACCAGACGATGAGCTTCCTGGGTATGTTCATTTCTTCTAGCGCCGGTAGAGCCCGGGTCAGGTTACACTATTCTACGTAGACTTGAAATCCAGAAAGAGGTGGTGCGTAACCATCCTGTATTCCTTGACTTTTTCCAAAATCATTCTCCGGGGGAAGATCTGGTCTGTAGTTGATCTGCTCCTTCTGAATCCTGCCTGGTAATTGCCTATCTCCCTTTCAGAATGGGGGGTGAGTCTCTCGAAAAGGATGTTTTACAACACCTTGTAGGCCCTCGAAAGGAGGACTATAGCCCAATAGTTGTCGCACTCCGTTTGGTCTCACTTCTTGTGAAGCAGACAAATAACTCCTGGTTGCATCCTTTCTTCTTCCCATATTGTAAGGATGAGGTTGTGGAGTTCCTTCATAAGTCGCCCGCCACCGTAGCGAATCATCTCTGCCTGTATGCCGTCTAGTCCTGGAGCTTTGTTATTCTTCAGCTTCATTACGGCCTCCTCGACTTCATCCACCTCTGGTGGTTCTGCATCGTTTGGGAGGTCTTCTCTTCTTGAGATGATGCTGCCTTCCTCTTCTCCGTCGTCTTGATGAAGGACTTTTCCATAGTACTGCCTCCATCTCTCCAAGATTTCTTACTTTTCCGTCAGGAGATTTCCATCTGTATCCTTGCAGGAGGTGACACTATTAGATTACCCCTGTACTTTGTAGAGGTTTCGTGATAGTTAAATTTTGGGAGAATGGGTAATCTACCCACTGCCCTAGAGTCAGGTGGAGGGGCTGCCTCCTATGAGCGTCCTCACGCACTCCCCCCGCCAGGGTGTCTACCCAGGAGAGGTGGCCCTGGGTTGTGTGTAGTGATTGACCTTTGTCTGTAATGGAGGGTGTTGTAGTTTGCTGTTATTGAGTACTGTGTGCATGTTAAGATGAGTGTTCCCCCAACCTGGACGAACGGTGGCTAGTAGCAGCCTTACGGCTGGGCGATGGGCGGCTGGCCGCCACATCCCTACGCCAAGAACTAAAACAATTCAAGAAATAAGAAGTGTGTAAAAAACAATATATATATATATATATATATATATATATGTGTATAGACACAGAATTTAATATGTTGTCTCTTTGTATACTTTATGGTTAACAGGGTTGTTTTTTTTTAAATTGGATAAATATGGATTGGTTGAGGAGGCGTTTTTCATGGTTAGGAACAGTTGTGAGGATGGATGGGTTATCGATATCAAAGGAATGGTCAAGAGATATGGTATTTTCAGACAATTTTTATCTTTCCTTTTATTACTATTATCTTACTTATTCTTATTGTTATCATCTTATTACTGTTATTCTGCACTCATTATTCTGCATTACTCTTAAACTTTTATATGTATTATTTTACTGATTTTATTTTATCTTTCCTAATTTTCAGCCCCGAGGATGACCACATGTTTGGGTCAAAACGTTGGCCAACCTAATAATAAAAATATCTTGACTGAAAATCCTGAAGATTTTGTTTCATCCGTTTAGTAAGATTATTAACTTAAATTAAATTTTGTAATATTATTAAATTTGATCAGATTTAATGAAAATTTGATATTTAATAAATATGAAATTAACTCAATTGAATTATCTTATACATAAGTATTATTGCATCATTAAGTTGGTACTCTTAATTAAGTAATTATTTAAGGGGAGAAACCTGGCAGTTGAGCGTGATCAAGGCGTGATAGTTTTGTACAATACAAGTTATCGTTCACTCTGGAATTGTTCAACTCTTATATCTTTGTGGAGGGAATGTACATTGTACAGATATATTATATAAAATAAACACAAGTATTATTGAATTACTTGAACTCATGATTCCGAATATTGGCTAAAAAATCTCATATAATCTCATGTTTGCTTCTCAAGTTCATAGGCTTTCGATTTTGATTGGGGGACGATGGACAAAAAAAAAAAAAAAAATGGCTGGAGTTTTTATTATTTGTAAACATTCAATATGGTTATTGTGAAACGAACAAATATAATATTGAATATTTAAAATTTATTTGTATATATGTTTCTATAGTTATAAGGATTTTTTTCGTCCTACTTACTATATATACCTGAAAATATCTAAAAAAAAAAATACAATTGGATATATAACTTATTTGGTTAAATTGAACACAGGAGGGAGGATAAACAGTCTCCATAACATTTGTACATTTCTAGTTCTTTTTCATTTAAAATGAATGAAGTAAAAAATATTTTTGATTTCTTGGTGCGTACAACTTCAATTAAAAATATGTTTTTCACAGTCCGACTAGTTCTCGCTGTGGGAAAGGTGAATATCACGTGAAAATTAAGGGGTGGTTGAGTCTTAAAGTCCTAGGATATGTCGATATGCAAGGTGTCCCGTAAGTAGAGGAAAATATTTAAACAAGTAATAGTAGATCTCAAGACACAGGCAGATCTTAAGGGGGGGAGGAGGCTTTTGGGCTGAGGTCCTCTGTCCCTCCCCCCAAAATGATAAAATATAACTATGTCTTGTGATAAAATATTATAAATTATGTCTTAAAGTACTATTACTCCTGTAATTACATTTAATAGAACTTCCAAAATCACTAATATACCATTTCATGTAGTTTCTTTCTTTTTTTTTTCAAAGTGATTATCATTATATTTGCATGAAAAAAGTTTTTGGGCTGAAAAACCAACCCCCCTCCTCCTAAAATTAAATCCTGGATCCGTAAGTGTGTTGAGAGCTATAAAAA